AACACTCAAATTATTTGTTTCTCTGGCCCTAGATAACTTTAATCCGCCATTGTTCCTGGTAAGTTGAACACCGGGTAACTCAAACTTTCGTTATCTCAAAACGTTTCATTTGGTCCCTTCAAGTAGTCTATTAAAATTCTCCGTTCAAGGTGGTTTTCAAGGTAAAATTTTTCCAAATGTTAAAAAAATCTAAAATGGCTGCAATAAACATGCAAAAATTGATTTATTGCCTGTGTCAATCTGACAAATTACATTCAAACTAACTTATTTATACTTGAAATATTAAAATTCTAGTTTTAGCCCTCGTAAACAAGTTAATAAACATACTGTGAAAATTTGAAGATAAAAGCTTTAATCAAACTGAAGATATTAACGTTTTTCTGAGAGAAACATTATAATATTAAAGTCTTAAAAAACAGATTTAAAAAAAACAAACATTTAAGCGATAGGTTTTTTTATAAAAAGTTACTGAAAACTGCAACTAGTATTGGAGTTCACATTGTTACTCTCCTTTTCAATGCCTAAGTAAACTTTTTATATCGATCTTATATGTTTTCTTCATTTTTTTACTAATATCAGTCAATTTTCTTGGCATATTTTTGATAACCACTTTTTATCTTTTTTGAAAGCTATTTTTTTAAAATAAATACCTCCAGGAAACCTATACATTTTAAAAATGCAACTTAAAAAAAATCCATTATTGTATTTTAAAATAGAAGAATAAAGTGATAGTTCAAGAACTTTTCTTCCAGTAAAAGTAGCTTTAGGTCATCGCTGCCATAATAAACCGTTAAATGCCTCATTGCAATTTTGTGTCATTTCATTCTCCTTTCTGATAATGACCAATACATTCTAGCTTTTTGATAATATAATCCTGACCCGAATATAATAAGTGCTTAAATATCGAATTTGTTTTTAATAGTGTATAAGTTATGACAAATTTTGCTATAACATATTAACAAGAATTATTTAATATAATAAACCTATTAAATTATTATTGCAAATTATTATAGGAAAATGAGTATAAACGTTTTGAATAAATTTAAATAATTCGGGTCTTGATTTTACAAACAACGCAAAACCTGGATTTGCTCACTGGAAAAAAGTATTGACCAAAATCATCATATAGTTTACTTTTTAACAACATTAGAAAATGAACTTATCTCATTAGTCATTATCTCTAAGGTTACTAGTTTATCTTAAATTATAGTTTTCTATGGACAGTTGGAATGTTTTTTGAACTCCAGGAGCTTCCATTGATCCTGCTGGGCCAAAATGATTAACTTGGGAAGTGTGTGTAGCTTTCCAATGCCATAACAGCATGTAAATTAATTTAAATGGCTTTGAACCATCTCTACTACAAGTCTATTCAGATTTTTTTAGGTGGCCTACTTTTTTACAACAAAATAAGAAATATTTTTCCACGTTCAAACCAGATATAATTTCATGTCGATAGCATTCACAACTACAGGCCTATTCATTGCGCATTTGAATTTTTTTATGGAGGTCTACTTTTTTACGGCAAAAAAAAAAGATAATAAATTCGTTAAAACGTAATTTTTAAACTAAAAAGTATTTTAAGTAGATATAAGAAAGGTTACTTGACCCACCCTAGATTTTTTAAATGAAAAAAAAAGTATTGTCTTTTTTGCTATTTGGCTAGTCGTGACTACACTTTCTACACACTTGAATCATTAAAAATGTATAGTTTTTAAATTTGTTAAAAATGTATAGTTTTTAAATTTAAACGATGGCCGAGGATTTTGTTCACTGATGTTTGATGATATCTTTTCAATGTATTTTTGTGTTGATTTTGTTACAAAATGATTAGGCAGTTCGAACCAGTTTTTTTATAAAGAAATTTTGCGTGTTGCAGACACAAAATTTCTATTTTAAAGTAAGTTCTGTAAAATTTCAAAATGATTTTTCAAAAAAGTTTTGGATTAATAATGCAGTATTTATATGTAATATTTTATATATGTATATATATGTAATATTATCATATTAGACTTAATACATATAAAAAGTAATAATTAATACATAAAATATAATAATAGTATACTAATATGTACATTATATAGTACATATTAGTATACTATATATTAATAATATGTATTCATATGTATTATGTATGCTATATAATTTTAAAATATTCTATCATTTCTAGTGTTTTCTTTTATATATTTTACATTGATTTAAAAGTTTTACTTCTAAAGATATTTCTAAACATATTAAAAAAAAAAATTTAACAAGTTTGAAAAATTTGTACAACAAAAAATTTGAACAATTTAAAAGCATTAACAAAGAAAATAAGCTGCAGCAATCGTCAATAAGTTTATGGGTAGTGTTAGTTAAGCCTACTACGTCGCAAAAAAAACTTCCCTGATGAAAACACCATGACATGTTGACATGAAAATGTTCAACAGATTCAACACCATGACATGTTGACATGAAAATGTTCAACACAATGACATGTTGACTTGAAAATGTTCAACAGATGCTGCACTAGTTAAAGGACAATATGCTACTAATATTTTTAGTAGTTGTGTAATCACCTCACATTCACAAACAGTCAATATATTTATGACTATATTACATTACATTTAATACTTTTGAAGATCTAAGTATGTGTATTTTGTATCAATATCTTGCAACCCGTTCATCATGGATACCAGTGTGCATTTATTAGATCAGCATTTACCAAATACAACAGTTTTCCGTGAAGCATTCAAAATTGTTTTGCGAGTATGTGGTAAAAAAAAGAGCAAATGGATGCTGCATTATGTTTAACTGTCATGCGTAATCCAGACAGACATATTATAAGTCTTATAGATAAATCTATACAAAACAAAGTTTTACAGAATTGAATGATTTTTACCGAACATATTATAGAGGCATGTTTAATAGTAGTAAAATTTACGATTGAACAAATTTGCTATTGAACAAATTGTCTTAAGTTATTTTCAAAAAAGCACATAGCGAAGGTTATTGTTACTTTTTTTGCCATTGTTGCATGAAACGCTTTGGTTGGTTTGAAACATAAAACTGTTTGTATTTTTAGCAAAAATATTGATGAAATTTTCAATCAATTACAAAATTTAACATCAAACATCCGTAGTAAAACGCAACAAAATGCCCATGAGTTAATGCGTTCTTGTTCCTTATCAATTTTTATTGTATGTCTTGTGGTTATCTCTACGTACTTCATTGTATTAGTGCGGACAACAACAAGACTGAATTTATGCAGAAGGTTATTGACATCTTTGCAAGGAAACCATTCGGACTGCTTTTTTTCAAAGATTAATGTTTAAGAATATTTTTACTTTTGCAGCTCTAAAACCACCTGCCATCCTGTTGATTTTACTACCTTTAAAACTCTTTAAAAATGAGTTTTAGTTGAACATTTATGTAATATTGTAAGCACTAATAAGCATTTGAACATATATCAATTATTTTTCTAATTATCGGGCATTGACACATTTTGAAAAAAGGCCATGCGCTGATATCTAGTGAACCTTCCTGCAGAAAATCCATGTGAATAATGGAAATAGAAACATAATTGGGTAAATCCCCCGTCCAGCAAAAACTGCTCCTACCTATAATTATATTTCCAAAAAATGTATGCAATGTTTGCAAAAAAAAAAAAAAAAAAACTTGAAATAACCATAATAAATGAAAAAATTTATTAAATAAAAAATCAGAATCAATTTATGTATACAGAAATGAAATTAATTACCTTTTAATAAATTTTAATAAAAAATGACCAAACTAATATCTTCAATATTTTAAACAACCTTTTTCAAACTTAATTTTTGCAAAAATACCTTAGTTAATGTAACTTTCTGTTTACAGAAAAATTACAAAATTTTTTTAAAAATTTACTATAACACCCTGAACCAAATTTTTGACTGAAATTCTACATGACTGTTTTACGTCATTTCTTCAACAATTGGCAATTGTCCGTGCATTTTTTTACACGAAAGCAAATAAAATAAAAAATGAAATGCTCTTTATTGTTTTAGTCTTTATTAAGTTTTTTAAAACAAGTTTTAAAAAGCGTTGGAATTCTTTCTAAGCCTAATGCAATTTTTAGTTTGTAAAGTTATGTTTTATTTTATACTTATTAATAATTTAAGTAATTTTAATGATAACTTACACAAAGCAAAATAATATCAGTTGTTAAAAAATTAGTTAAATAAACTGATTTAATCTCTTAGCTTAACTTCACTTAAGTCTTAAGTTACTCATTAAATTATAATTAATTTAAGAGTTACTTATACTTAAGCACAGTCTAAGTTATTCTATATATAGTTAAAAAAAAAAAATTATACTTTCATTTAAAAAATATAAATAAAATATACTTTCATTTTACTGAATTATATACTACTTTTGTTTTTGCTTATTTAAATAATGATTGAGAATAAAAATTGTTTTTGATTATATTATTTATAAAAGTTTAAGCCAAAAGTTTATTTATCTTTTTTAAGAAAATAGATGCTGATTTTTTTTTAATTTTTTTATTAAACTTGATCAAGTCAAATCATCATTAATGATCTGATCTGGATAAATTTATTTTCTATACATTTTTAAATAAATTTCCTGTACTATTTGTATTGTTCTTTCACAAAAATTTAATGCATCGTTGTTCTTGTTAAGTGTGTTTAGAAAGCCTTAATCTGTTCAGAGCTTTTTGATTAAGTAATACATTAATATAACTTATTAATTATGTAAATAATGTAAACTTTAACAGTACTGTTAAAGTTTACAAAAAAGTCAGGGAGTTTTGATGGGTTCAGTAACAAATTATATATGTGTTTTTGCTTATTGGAGACTAAAAATCAATTAATTTTTTCACTTTATATTTTAATTTATTTTTTTCTTCAAAAATGTTTATTAATTTAAAGTAAACAGTTTTTAAAAGAACATCTATTATTTGAGTAAAGTTGTGCGAGTTAAATTTTTATTAAATTTACATTGGTAAGTCAAGGAAATTTTATTTTAGTCAATGAAAAGTCAGGGAAAATGAAATCAAAAATTTTCTGGCCAGCCTGTTGATGCAATGCTAGATGTAATGCAACACCAATACTGTATTTTTTTGTAAGTCTAGTAAGCCAATACTTTTATTAGACCTTAAATTATCTAGCCACAAATAAAATAATTCAACCTTTTAAGCTACTTAAGCCTCACAGGTCAGTGTTGATCAACTGTAATATCAAAAATCTCTTTTTTAAGAAAAACTCTTAAAATATTTGTATAAGGTAAATGTGGGAAAAAAACGCCTGCAAGCTTCAATTGTAAATATTTGTAAAAATTATGTATTAACTTTTTGTTTAGTGTAATGCGTTTTATAATTTAATGAAGACATATTGAAAAGCATATAAATATGGCTGCAGTTGGTGCCTTTACCTCTATGGATCAAGCTGAAGGTGATTTATCTGACATTATATATATATATATATATATATATATATATATATATATATATATATATATATATATATATATATATATATATATATATATATATTTGGGTAATAGGTAGCTCTGAGGGCTTCAGTATCTAGGCAGAAGTGTGTGCCACTACATTGACTAAGCATTTTGTCAGGGTAGCAATCCTTTTATATATATATATGTATATATATATATATATATATATATATATATATATATATATATATATATATATATATATATATATATATATATATATATATATATATATATATATATTTCAAATAGAAACGACATGAAGCAGATATTGACTATGACAAAAATACGGGAGGCTGCATAAGCGTGAATTGGCATATGTGCGAACTGGCATAAGTTCGAAGCGTTGCAAAAACTGGCATAACTGCGAACTGGCATATGTGCAAATTGGCATAACTGGCACAAATGCGAATCAGCATAAGTACGTCAAACAAATTTGCAAACATTGGCATAAGTGCGAACTGGCATAAGTGCAAAGCAGTTACAAAAACTGGCATAAGTGGGAACTAGCATAACTGCGAATTGGCATATGTGCGCCAAATAAAATTTCAACTATTGGCACAAGTGCAAATTAGTATTTCGCACTTATGCCAATTTGCACTTATGCCAGTTCCCGCTTATGCCATTCGCACTTATGCCAAGTTCGCACTTATGAAATTCGCGCTTATTCAGTCATCCCCAAAAATGTTGATCTTTAAAAGTTGTATTTATAGTTATCTCTTTACCAATATCTCTTTGTAACTAAAGTTACTTAACAATATTTTTTAACAGGTTATAACTTTTCAATTTTTTTTATTAATTAACTTACTTTTAATTAAAACGTTTCTTATTAGACTTTTATTAGTTAGACAAAAAATATACCATAAAAAAACTATTATACCGGACTACTGATTATCATAGCAGACGACTCAAATGAGAGAGAAAAAAAATATTTCAGTCACCTGCAGGACATCTGGGAAAAACTGGAGGGTACATTACTGATATATATATATATATATATATATATATATATATATATATATATATATATATATATATATACATGCATATATATATGTGTATATATATGTGTATATATATGTGTGTGTGTGTGTGTATATATATATATATATATATATATATATATATATATATATATATATATATATATGAAACATATATATATATATTTCATATATATATATATGAAAATATATATATATATATATATATGAAATATATATATATATATATATATATATATATATGATAAATATGAAACCATATATTTAATGCAGTGGATTGCATAGATTCAATTTATATTTTCACTTACTTTCTTTTGATGGTCTTACTACTTTTACAATATCTTTTTGGATTTTGTTAAGAGCATTAAAATGATCAAAATCTATGAATGAGCTGAATGAGTGAAAATCTATGAATGAGATAAATTGCCACTTCGTATCTTTCAGTATTAAAGTCTCCGGAATATAAAAGTTGTGAATTATTTGAAAAGGAATGTAATGAATGTGAATTATTTGAAAATGAATGGCGACCGTTTTTGCATTAATTTTTATACTTGTTTCCTATTTATCAAAAATCGTAACGGTTTTAGCCATTTTCTCACCATAAGAACAGTCAAATATCAAAGTTTATATACTTTTATGAGATGTTTTGCATACGATTAAAGATTGCAAATCTAATCAAAGTGCACTGTTTTTCAGATTAACAATTTTTTTTGGAAACTTGTATATCAATATGTTTTATCAAATTTATGCTTCGTTGATAAGTGGAATATAAATAGTCTTATTGCAGTGAAGATGCTTTGAATTTACCATATAAAAAATATTTCTTTTATATGTTCAATTAAAAAAGACATTTAAAGAAGAGACTGCAAAAGCACAACTTTGCTATATATAATTAAAGGTTGGGGTCAAATACGTATTTATATTTGTTAAGAATTGGCTCTTTTGGCATATTAGTATTCGTATTTTATTTGATAACAAATTTCTTTAATATTTCCATAAACAAGGTTAACTCGTATTTTTTTTTTGTTTAAAAGGTTTGTTGTTTTTTTAACAATATTAAAAATAAAGTAAATTAAAATTTGTTTTCATGGAGTATTTGTGAGAAGATTTTTTTTAATTTTTTATTTAGTAGACCATTTTACCAGTCTTGTTTTGAAAAAATTTATATATTTTTACTTAATCTAAAGTATTAATATTTGTATTTATATTTGGAAAATGCCAATTGCTCATATTTGTATTTAAATTTATATTATGAAATCTAAAATTATTTAATATTTGTATTTGATCAAATTTGTTTGACCTCAACCCTGGTTAACAGTAATGGGTTTAGCAATGTCAAAGTCAGGCTACCAAATGCAATACTGATATATATTTTCAAATTAAGTTCAAATTTTTTTTTACATGTAAATAAAATTTTAATAATATTTATTTATTAATTTAAACAGCATAATATTTTGGATAGTCAAGAATTTTCATATCACAATTTAGTTAAAAATTTTATTTCATAACATTTTTTTTTAATGTTAAGTTTTTGATGAGATAAATGAGGGGAAATCACCCTTTCCTTAAGACAATGAATAGAACACTGATGCATCTTGTAACTTTTAAAATATGTCTTTATACTAATTTTTAATACTAAGTATTTAGTTTTTATAATTTTTAAATTATAAAAAATAAATTTTTTTATTATTTAAGTACATAAAATGGCGCAGCTCCTCCGGCCCTGTGGTTATGCTAGGGTACAAGAGCTACATTTAAAAAAGTCTTGAAGAAAAATGCATTTTTTAATATGGTAAGATGGTTGTTTAGTGCCTTCTATAGTGCCTTGGATATACCCAATATTTAAGGCCTTAGAGAGGGAACCAAACAATCATCTTACCATATATATAATGTATAGCCAGTGATGAACCCAGAGTTTGTTTGGGGATAGCACTGGGGGAGAGGGTTCTGTTATTTTTTCAATCATTATTTTTATCATTTGGGTTTATCTTGTTCAGTTTTATCCTAAGATAAGGAGTTATTTTAAAGGCATTTCTTTGAATACATGAATTTACGGGTGGGTATAGCCATGTTAGTTTAGTTACGATAAGAAAACTATTTTACTTAAAACTTTAATAAGCTCTCTTGTTGCAAATACCACGCTATTAGTAAATAATTATTGAAAATTGTTTAAGTGTTTTAAACATTTATTGACTATATATTAGTAAATTTAATTTTAGAAGTTATTAATGTTTCAACTAATTAGTAATTAAATTTTTAAATACTTTAAACAATTTTTAATTAACATTTATATTACATAATATATTTAGGGGGATTGGGGGCATAACTGCATATGGAGGCACAACCGTTTTTTAACATTTCCTTTTGAAAAATTTTATTTAATATGGCAAAACACATACGATGCGTTAGTAAAACAGTTTCCTTCATTTGGCTTATGTCAAAAAGAACCTGTTATGTTTTTGAGAAGTTGTGCATGATGTTTATTTTGATAAAAATATTATATTTACATCATATTTTTCCAGACCTTTTTTTTGAGGATTAAGCAATATTTGATTTTAATATTAAAGATATGTTTTATCAGCAATATTTCATCAAGGAAAAACCATTTTTGATATCAACATAACCTAATAAGCAAGCTATGAAGCTGTATTCTTTCTAAAAACTGTCCTCTGGAGCAGAACCGCATAGACGCGCAGGAGACACAACCACATATTTTTAATATTTATCAAAGTTAGGTAATTACGAATAACAATAATTACAGTCGTAACATTTGAATGCGTTCATGTAAAAACTTAAAAAGAAATAGTTTTGTTTTGAGATGTCAGAAATTAGGTTTCATATTTTTTTATTTAATTTTTATAAATGACTTTTTGAATAAAATATAAAGCTAAAAATATATCGAATGAGAAAACTCAGGCTGTAAGTACAAAGAATGTCTACACAGTATGCAAATGTGCAACAAAATCAGCAAATAATTTGAGCTGTGACAATTGTAAAGAAAATGTACCAAGAAAAGTGTACCGCCAACGATTTGTGAGGGTGCGGTTGTGCCTCACAGTGGGGACAAAACTGTTTTTTTCACTAAGTGTAATTTTTGTATAATAATATTTTGAAAAACTGTTTGATTTTTTTTTTAATTGCATCAATTTAAAGCTTAATGATGCAGTTATTGAAATAAACTGTTAAAAAAACACATTTCGTTTTTACTTCATCTAACATTAATTCAAATGTTATGGGGGGGGGGGGTTATGCCCCCACTTCTATTATTTAACTTTTCCTAAAGGTTAATAATTTTTAAAGTGATTTTAAGGTGCCTTTTAAATTAAAGATAATTTAAATTTAAAGAAGAGATAGTTACAGTAAACATAATTTTTAAAATCTTATATTTTTTGGATTAAAAAACATATATTTTGAAAAACATATGTTTTAAAAGATTTATAATATTTTTTTAATCATTAAGTATAATTTAAAAATTTACGTCTAATAAATGAGTTACATTTACCATATGTTATTTTAAACAGATCTTATTAAAACTTTTATTAAGTTAATGTAATTGTTATTTTTATTATTTTAAAAGTCAAAAAGAATATGGAAAAGTAACAAAACTTTCTGAAAAAGTTTACGTTTCGTTTTTTCAAATTAAATTAAAACATCTGTTATAGTATGTAAATTTATCCCTATAAAATTCTTTATATTATAATAAAATATTTCAAGGGGTTATATATACCCTCGTTATTTTAATAATATAAAAAAAACTGTTAAAAAACAAACAAATAATAAAGCGTAAACTAAAAAAGCAAGCTAAAGATCAAAAGTTTATTCATTTAAAAATTAAATTTGCGCGATTTTTTTATTAAATTTGAAATTTTTTACTTTTTGTTCATTTATTATCAAAAGCAGTTTACTCTTTATTGCCAAAAAACAAGTTAACTTTAATTAAGTTTTTCATTTTTTTGAAACTAATGTTCAGTTAGTAACCAAAGAACAGTTATGTCACGTAATTATGTAAAGAAGCTGTTTCTTTTTGATTCATTTTATTGACTGAAAGAAAAAATGAGGTTGCTAAAATGAACTCAAAATTATTTATATACTACTGCATTAAAAACTGATTTTTTTTTTTCTTTTTTTAACATTAAAACAAAATAAAAATTAAAAAATAAAAATAATTTTTGGGGGCTTTTTAATGGAAGCCCATACCGTCCAACTGAAATTATAAATAAATCAAGTTTATTCTTTTTAAAAATCTATGAAAAATCAAGTTGCAATAAATTCAGGTTTTTCTCTGGTCTGTTTTGAAGAATCTAAGTGGTGAAAACAACCAAATCAAAAATCCCAATGGTTCAAAAGTGACGCTTTGAAATTCAGCCTAAAATAATTCTTTTTTTATTGCTCACTTGCCATTATGGACATTGAAGTTGTATCTTTTAATTAATAGTTCAAGTTCTATTAGTAAAATGGGTGAAATTGCTACCTGACAATTTTTATGGGTGCTGAACCCAAAGATATTCAGATGGTTATTTTTTATTTTTAAAGTAGTCAAAATAAATTCTATATTTTGTTACAAAGTGTTGCAGTTTTACTGACTCTCTGACTAGAGTTGCCAACCTCTCATGGATTAGAATTTTTTTTTAAATAAAAGAGATGTTTAGCTGACTAAAATATAGTTTTGGTTTCCTGAAGCTTAATAAAAATTCACTTTGAAATTGAGACTGAAAAACTTAAACAAAATAAATGCCTGGAAAATAAGGCTGTTAGTAATTTTGTGTGCTCTATGCAGCATTTAAGTTAAAGTGCCCAGACCATGAAATTAGATTCTCCATTTTTTGCCTTTAATTTTGTCTTTAGCCTAAAGCACATTTTAAAATCAGCTGGGATCGAATAATGATTGTTAAATTTATAAATTTTTTTTATTTAAATTCCAAATCTTTTTCAATAAAAATCGTGGCTTTAGTTTAAAGTTGTATTGTGACCAAATGTAATCATGATCTCAATACATTCCAACTGCTTTAAAAAGTTTTTTGTATTCGTTCTGAATAGCTTCTACACGTGGAAGGCAATAAAATCTTGTTGGTTTCCCATTTGCGTTTTTAGAATGTCTTTTCATTTTAAAATCTAGGATAGCTAAAGCTAATAATTTAAACTTTTTCCTGAATAAAAAACACAAGCAGAACATGTTTAAAATACAATAAAAAGGTTTAAACAAAGCTACCATTTTTATTTTTTACTCTACAAATAGACCCAGTTTTCTGACATGAATTTGACTAATAAACTTGAATTTTTTTTCTTAAATGGTCATCATTTTGGTCTCAACACCCCCTTCCCATTGTCAATTCTTCTCAATCTTTTCACTACCCCCTCCCCCTTATATTTACTGACATCATTTATGGATAGCTCCAAAATCCTACTTATCCAGGAGCTGAGATAATGGAATTCTACTGTATATACTGGTTGTTTTTTTTTTTACATTAGTTTAATGCTTATAGGCTCAGATTTTGGAAAAAAAAAAAGCATATAGAAGTATATTCCTGAGCCTCGATAAACCATTTAAAAATTTTTATTTTTATTTGATTAAAAATTTTAAATATATATATTTCTAAATTTAAACCAACAAAAACAATAAAAACCGAAGTTTATAACAACATTAATTGAGCTACATTAAAACCAAAACAAAAATACAGAGCATAAGTCAACTTTTTATTTTTCTTATACCCATTAACCTTTAGGAACGCACCCACTTTTAGAAGTTATTGAAATAGGTTTATTTTATTAGAAATATGCTTAAGCTTAAGCATATTTTGAGCCTCTTTTTACTTTTTGCTTAAGCATATTCGAACCTGTTTCAAAAATTTCATATGTTATAAAAAAAAAAACATGTATATTCCTCTTCATCATTTTTACTTTTACTATACGTAATGAGTTCAAAAATATCATTATATATATTTATTATAGCGCGTTTCATAAGGTTGTTTCCGTTAAGAACTCTTTCGTATGTTGTGATGCAAAATACTTTCGTTTCAAAAGAAATTTTGTTTTCTATCAATATTTCTAAAAATAAAATTATAAAAATTTAATATGTTCTTATTCTGAAAATAAAAATTCATTTTAAACATTTTGGGATTTTAAAATGTCAATTTTTACAATTAAAATCAGTCTGATAAACAAATTTTCATACTTTCGTATGTTGCAAAATAGTTTTATTTCGTATGTCAACTTGCAAAATGCTAAATTTCAGAAGTAGCATTTGCTAAATGAACATCTACGATTTTAAATGTTTTGTAATATTCGGTGCGTTTTGTAAACAGTAAATGTTTTGTAAAATTCGGTAATTGTAATATTCGGAAAAAATGTAATTCCTCATTCTCAATCTCCTTATGAAAGAATGTTGTTTTTCCGGAACTGCACAAAATCCTTCGGTTAACAACCCTAGCTCCAACTATTTTATCTTCATTGACTTTTTGATTGTCATATACAAATAGCATTGCAGCTAATTTTGTAGATTGTTTATGTTATGTACAACTCTTTCAATAATTTTTTTATATAGTTGGTATTACAGATATAGTTGTTGTTAGAAGTCATATATATATATATATATATATATATATATATATATATATATATATATATATATATATATATATATATATATATATATATATATATACATATATATATATATATATATATATATATATATATATATATATATATATATATATATATATATATATATATATATATATATATATATATATATATATATATATATATATATATATATATATATATATATAGCATCCTAGTTGGCGACTTTTGGGGACATGTTATTTTTTTTCTCGTTCTGTTGTTTTTTTACTTTTTTTATACTATTTTTTATCGTATTTATATATTTTAGTAACCGTTTTAGCAACCTTCTATTAAAGAATAGCTGCCTTCATCCTTGAGAAGAATGAATATTAACAGATAGAAAAGTAATAAAATTGCATATAATTTTTTTTTAGATCTGAAGGCATTTGAGCGCCGTATTGTTGAGCTACTTGATTCTCTGGGTCCTACTGCAAATAAATGGAAATGTAAGGGTTTTATTATTAGATTATTTGTGTTAGATTGTTTGTGAATGCATTTGAGCGCCTTATTGTTGAGCTATTTGATTCTCTGGGTCTTACTGCAAGGTTTTATTATTTTTTACGCTTCTGCTCATTTGTTTTGATTTTTTTTTACAGTTTTATTTATTTTTTGTTATTTGTTTATTGCATTTGCTTATTTGTTTTACAACAATCTTAGTTGTCTTCATCAGCACATGCTTTATTGCCATAGTTACAGCTTTCGGATGGTTGTTTGATCAACAAATAACAGAGGTTTGTTAAGTAGATGGTTTATTTTTATTTCAACAAATAACAGAGGTCAGGGTTAGGGTTAAGTCGCTGATTTATTTTATTTCAAAAAACAAAATTATTTTGGAATTTCTTTTTATAAAGATTTTAATCATTGGAGTTATTTTAGATATCCTTTGTGCAATCATTACTTAATCACAAACTGTTTTCATTAAGTTGTTTTGGTTTGTTAGTTATGTTGTTGATGGGTGTGCATAAAAGAATACTAATCCAAAGCATGTATCCTTTTTTTTAAAGATTTTTACTTTTTATAAATAAATAAATAAAAAATTTTAATTAAAATTTTATATTAATTCAATAAATGTTTGTAGATTTTTTGTAGTTAATTTTATTTTCTGATATTAGCTGTTTTTATTATTTCTGTTTATTGAAATAATATTTTTTTTCTTTTGTTAAGTTGCAAAGTAGTTTAATTATTTATATTTATTAGGGAAGTGTTTTTGATTTAATTGTTACAACATTTTCATTATATGTGTGTATATAATAATATAAAATCTTTTTTGTAAATATATCCTTTCAATTTAATTAATTATGATAATTATTAAATTAAAGGGAATAATGACACAAATTAAGTTAACAGTTAAAGTTGTCATTAAAAAATACAATTTCGTTTTTTTTTTAAATTATATTAGTTTACAAATAAAAATAAACTATTAAATATAAAAACCTAGAAATAAAATAGCAATTGTGCATTTAATGATTTTGGAAATGTAATTGCAGTAAGTTAACTGCGACATCATATATATATATATATATATATATATATATATATATATATATAATATATATATATATATATATATATATATATATATATATATATATATATATATATATATATATATATATATATATATATATATATATATATATATATATATATATATATTTTATCATATTCATTTTTTATTATTTTTTCAAATTATTTTTATAAATTTTTAAATATATTTCTCATATTATTTTTTTTATCATATATTTTTTATTATATTTATTTTTGTATAATATGTATCATATGTATTTTATTTTTGAAAAATAAAAAAGTTAATAAATCTTCATATATAAAAAAGTTTTTCTATAAAATAAATGTTTGTGAGAGCAAATTTTCTCTTTAATATGCTAACGTAAAATGCCTACGGAATGGAAGAAGAGCATTATAAGTTGGTTTCACTTTTTTGTCAGGGATTTTGTTAAAATTATGTTTGAGAAAGCTTCTGCATGACACATATTGTCGTGTCATGCAGCTCCTGCGTGACACATTGTCGTGTCACGTCTTTCTTCATGACACAACTTCAACAGTTCGAGCTAAACAAAATCCTCATACTTTTGTTTTGCTATGATCCCAAGAAGAATGTTATTTGAATGTCATCAAAAAAATTGATTTTAAAAATACTTTAAAATATCTTGAAAATATTTTTGTTTTTTCTTTTGAATAATTTTAAATTATATAAAAACAACGGTTCAACTAGAAAGAGGAACAATTAATTGCTTTTATGCATGTTTATAATTTTTTCTAAATTAAAAGATGTTTGTCAACTAGGTGGTCGAGGTTTCAAAACTTTCAACTAGGTGGTCGAGGTTTCAAAACTTTCAACTAGGTGGTCATGGTTTCAAAACTATATTTAGAAAATTCAAAGTATAACTATAAGTTTTAAAATAAAATTTTAAATAAATGTTGGGGCAAATTGCAACTTGATAATAAGTTGATCATGAAAGAAGTTTGAATCTGCGGTTGCAGTCGTTGTAGAAAGTACAAAAAACCATAAATGATTCAATTGCAGAAAGAACAGATTGCAGAATCATAAATACATCTTTTTTAATGAGAATTAAATGCAGTTTTCTAACTTTTGTATAGTATATATTTTTTGCAGACTTTTTACATATCGCACTTAAGTCTGAATATTAGATGTTTTCAAAAAAAAAATAAATTATAAACTAATTTTTATTATTTATTTTGTTATTTTTGTATATAATTGTAAAGATTGCATTATTTTAAATTTTTCTGTTATTGGGTTTTCTTTAACTTTTTTTGAAGAATTTTGTCAAGATGTCGAACAATTTTGCAAGATTTTAACATGTCCTGCGATGACGTATGTTTCAAACAAATTTTATTCTACTAACAGTCCTTATGTTAACGAAGATTTTTCTAACCTTTTTTTTTTTTGTATTATTGTTGTTTTTAGTGTATACGTTTATCTTTTTTTATAGAGGGGGCGGTTGATTTTAAAACCACGTCCTATAAAGGAAAACGAGTCTTACTACAGCAGGTTTTATCAAGGTCACGGATAAATTTTTACATAATTTCTGTAAAATAGAAAATTGCAGAATAGCGACTTGATGAAGTCTTCTTCTGACTGTCTTATCAAAATGCAACTTGATAATAAGTTGATCATGAAAGAGGTTTGAATCTGCGGTTGCAGTCGTTGTAAAAAGTACAAAAAACCAGAAGTGAATCAATTTAGAACAGATTGCAGAATCATAGATACATTTAATTTTAAAATAAGTTTTACTTGAAAAAATATATCATCGTTTATATCTTACTTAGATGTTTATATTATACTGTTTTTAAGTTTTGCATATTTAAAATATAAGATTTTTAACAGAAAATAGAAAAGATCAAAATATACATAGTTTATTGTTCTATTTATGAGTTGCAAAATAATTTATCTTTAAATTTTTTGAAAGGGATCTAACACTTTTTTAACCTCTGTCTTTTATATGTTTTGTATTTTTTTAAATCATTATATTTTTATGTTTTGGTTTTCACTTTTTTTTTTTTTTTTTCATCTTTTCAGAAAAATTTGTATTCTTTTTAATTAAAAACAAGTTTTTTTTTATTTAAAAAACTTAAGTTTAAAGCTTAATTTTATTTATTTGTCTATGAGTTTTCCCCCCGAGAAGAAGTGTCTTTTGGTTTTGTCTTTTTGGTTTTAAAACAAAAAAAAAAAAAGAAAAATCCTCTCCAGCTACTTTTTAAAGTCTTTTAAAAATAGCTGAACTAATAAAAAAGTTAAGTATAAGTGATTTGAGCAACCGTGACGCAGTGGTCAAAGCACTTGCATATATATATATATATATATATATATATATATATATATATATATATATATATATATATATATATATATATATATATATATATATATATATATATATATATATATATATATATATATTGCTATAAATATGTACGGCAACATTTAAAAAAATTGAAAAATCTATTTCACTACAGGTAGGATTTGAATCCTTGGATACGGCTTTCAGGACAACGCACGAAACTACTGAGCTATGAAAGATGTACGTTTAAGGAAAAAGCGAACCATTTTATAAATCTTTTATAAGCTCTACGCGTTAAGGACCATCCATTATTTGTTAAAATTCGGATTACGAAGATTCGGAAATACAAAGTTGACTTCGGCTTCGGTGCCAAATTTGACATAGATTCATGACATGGATATTCGGTGCCAAATTTGACATTCGGCTATCAGTTAAACTTGGTTACAATTGCAAACTTTCATTTAAATTCACAAAATAATAATTTTTATCTATTTTAAAAGAAAAGTAGTTATAAAATGTATTACTTGTATATGAATCTGTTTAAAAGCATTAAGAGTTGTAAAGATTGCAGTACTTAAGGAGTTAGTTTTATAAACAGATCTCCGAACAAGTCGCAACTATGATTATTACACGAGTCTTACAATCCACTACATTAGTTCAGACTTTAATTTAGTAAATTTTCTCATAACTTGCTTCCCCAATGCTATCCCAGTGTGTCTACCAGTAAATAATTCTCATTTACTGGTAGACACACTGGGGTAGCATTGGGGTATGATAACACAATCCAGCTAGTTATTCGTAAAGGAATAAAAAATTCAATTGAACTTTCAAAAGCAATAAAAAACTGTACAGATTTAGCATCACATAGACATAGAAGTGTTTTCTCTACAACCATGCTTCAAGATGTTTGTTTAATTAAGCTCAGAAAATAGATTGTTTCATGTACAACACAATGAAATTCCGATTACATGCGCATAAGGTCAATCCTTAAAGTCAAAGTTGCAATCAAAACACTTGCAAAAACCAATGACGAGTTTCAAAGGTCATGCCTCTCAGATGATCAATAGAAGATATTAGAATACAACATTCCATTTCTTGAAAAAATTTACAATATTTCAGAAACCTTATTAGCCGATAAAAGACCAACAGTCCAAGATGTGATACCTGAATTATATTCCTTGCTTTAAGAGCTTCTTTCCAATTAACATCATAAACACAATCCAACAAGAATATTTATAAAAATGCTGCTTGGTTAAAAATGTAGAAAATGATTGTTTATACAAAAGAAAATATTAACAAATAAAAATTAATTTTTGATTTTCTTCGGTATTTTTAAAAATCTGTAATTCTAAATTTATTTAATAAATGACCTCCAAAAATTTGTAATGTTTTTAACTGTAGGAAAGATACTCTCTTATTGGTACTGAGCAGCTGATTAATTGTCTTGCAAACTTTTTAGACCCACGTTAAAAAAGGCCTGCATTTGATTGAATATAAAAAATGTGGTGAAATAAAAGAAGCAATATTGACTCAGAAAAAAGGGAAAAATCACGAAAAAGCTTTAATCAGAGCAGCAAAACAGACAATAGAAGTAATGAAAATGTTAACATTAATCACCAGGAACTGCTTAGAAAAAGACTGAAATAAGATATTTCAGCACGCAGTGTATTTCAACAATGGCTAAATTGGGTTAAGAAATCAATCATTATTTAGCAGCCAAAACAGCTGAAGAAACAACAAATATTTTAGAGCAGTGGAAATTTTTGTTGCAGTACCCAACTTTAATCAAATTATGGACGATAATATTTTTATATACCAGCAACTTACGTAACTTCGGTGAGGGTTTTTTCTACAGCTGATAACATCGTCACGTGACAAAGTTGTCACTGCCAGAAAAACCTCGTTTGTGATTGATAGTGTTGAAAAAATTGTTTACATAAACAAAAATATTAAAAAAAAAATTAGTTTTTAATTTTCTTTAGTATTTTTAAAAATCTGTAATTTAATACTAAATTTACTAAATAAATGACCTTCAAAACTTTGTTTTGTTTTTAACCAAAACGAAACCAATCAAAAAAAAAATTTAAACCAAACCAAAAATAACCAAACCGTTGGTTTTATTTTTCAAATTGAATCGAAAAAAATCGAACCAAAAAAAACCTTAACCGCGTGACCTTATCTCTAAGCTAACTGTTTTTTGTATCATTTTTCCTTCATCTATCAACCTCTGGTATTATAATCTTTGTTGCTGTTACTAACTTTTTTTATTAAAGATCCCTACAATAATGACCACTGCTCCCAGTCAATATTTGAGAGCCAATAAGAACCGATGAGCTGTCCTCCTCTTTTAAGATCTCCTGCTGCGCACAATACGTGTGATTCAAAGGGCCGTGAATCAGAAGAGACCTCAAGAAAATTACCTGAAGCTGAGCTAATCGAATCTCTCAAAAGTGACTCATCAAAGTCAGAAGGACGAACTTTATCCAACAGAGGAGAATGTGATGTGATAATAATTAATGCTAACCTGATTAATGTTGACCCCTCTTTGTGAAAATTGTTTTAAGTCAAATAAATCAAGATGTAATTATTTTAAAGAAATTTTCTTCACATCCTTTGAAGCAAAAAAATTATTCGCGTAATACTAAGAAGAAAATTTTTCCTTTAAATGCGTTTTATCAATCTTGCTTAATAGGGAAAAAGTAGAAAGAGATTTTTTGGTTTCGAGCTCGACAAATAAAGTTTTTTACTGTTTCTCTTTCTTTTGCTTCCTCTTTGGCACAAAGCAGTTTTCAAAAGCAAGGAATTATCCCTTTTTTGTTTTATTACCAGCTCCAATGGTATAGATTCAGAATTCAAGAAGCAAATCTAAACTGTCTCATTTTATAACTAAATTGAGAACAATTCTCCTTAAAATTTTTGATGTGACTTTCTTGTCTTCTGGAAACTAAGCTTTTCTAGGTAACTTATTATAAAGTTCTCTTGATATCAATCTTAGTTATTTATATAATTATTGTAATAATTTAATTATAATGATTATATACAATTGTATTTGCAGGTAAAACAACACCCATGAATGGGAAAGAAAATGGATAATTTGTTGCCGGTATGTAGCTTATTGGTACCTCTCATCATTGTCGCAAAATGGGTTCACCAGAGTCATCCTCGAAGTGCAGATGTCAAAAAAATCTAGGATGGTATCTACTTTACCATCAAAGTTAAAATGGTACTTATGATACTTTTCACACTGAGCAAATGACCTTGGTTATTTGTTTTCTTCTCTATGAATAAGAATGGCAAATCAAAGAGCTATTCTTGTGTGTGGAACCTTTCGAAAAGAAGAAAGGAGTCATTATAGTCAAGGTTACCAATGATGTGATTGCAAGGTTAGGTTTGGATATTTGAAACTGTCTTTAAACTTTAATAAGGCAAAATTATACGGAAGCTCTGTACGTTCCCTGTTGAACTCACCGTCTAAATTTGGCTGGTGTGCATGCAGTTGAAGATCAAAGTATTATTTGCAAATGTTGAACTTTTGTGCGTATTTTTTGAGTGCAAGTCCTGTCCGATGGAAAATCCTCACTCCTCCGATTTTTCGACGTTGATTTAACTGACACAGGAATACTGATTTTTTTTAAAAAAAAAACTATTCCGGAATCAGTTGTTGAGGGTGAACGATTGTTTAGCAAACTTCAAATTGTAAATAAATCTCTCCGTTTGAGACTAATTTAAAACGAATATTTTGATTCATACGTCAGTTTTGATTAATAACCCGTTTCTCTATCAAGAGAAATAATTGTAACGCAGAAATGGAATGTGCTGTATCAGAAATAAATAGTTGGTGCGTTCAAAAGACTTTAAATTTCTTTGGCGTCCCTATTTCAAATTGAGGTTTGAAAAAGGAACGCCGTTCTCCATTTTTGACCCGTGTGCTCTCAAAGGCCCTGGTCGTCCGCCCAGCATATATTTGTCTTATCACCGTGCCACATTTTTATAAAATTGTGATTTATAAATTTTGTACTAAATAGACTTAAATAGATATACTAGAAGATAATATATAGTATTGTTTTATGTCATTTTTAATGCATAAACGCTGTCCATTAATTATGCCAACAATTTTTTGGCAATTTTTCCCTCCCTCTCCCCATAGTCAATATCTTGTCCATTTTTTTTTTTTTTGCTGTTTAAAAATGTTATAACAACCAGATATATTTTACAACTTGATAAAAATACAATGTTTGTAGTGAAATAATAGTACACATTGTTTCACTTTTATATACACTTATATTAAAATATTAAAAAACCAAGATAAAATGTTAAACCTAATAATATACAAAAAAAAAGTCAGTTTGGTAGAAAATTTTGAAAAAAAAACTGTCTCTGGTCAGTACTTTTATGGCAAAAAGGGACAATAAGATTGTTATTAATTCAAAGATTATATTAGTTATTAGGTTTCATACAATAAAGATTTTGTAATAACTTCGGCGAAGTGATACATAAAGCATTTTGGTGAGAAATTGGCTAGCTATAATTGTTACGATAAAGACAGCGATTTGGCCACGAGGATCGCTAGCTTTTTTAAGTTAGCGAAATTTGGGAACCCTTTCTGATATCTTTCAGTAGAAAAAACTCTATTTATTTTTTATAATACATTGTTTTTATTATCTTTAAAGTCTTAATTTTTAGAGTTTCTCTGATGTTTATTTTTTTATGGAGTTCATGTTAAAAAGTTTTCACGCATTTTGTTGGTTTCACATTCGATTAGAAATTAACGTTCGAATTAGATATTCATGACAACCTCAGTGTTTATCAGAAGACTTGGCAATGTACTTTTCACTTTCTTACTAAACCGCTTTTCTCTTCAGATTTTCCTTTTAATGAACACGTTTAGAAATAAAATATTCTTAACAGTGGTCTTAGTATTTTGTTTATTTACTCATAATTATTTTTATCCAATCGTCTTCATATGGTAAGTTACTTATAGTTGTTTTTTTTTAAATCCTTTAATTAGTTAATTTAATTTTTTTTTGAAAAAAATTCTACATTTTATATCCAATCCACAACTACTTTTATTTAATTTAAAAACAATAACTCTATCTGTTGTATTAAAAGCTTTTAATACAACCTGTTTAATAACTCTATCCGTTGTAATAAAACGGGAATAAGTAGCGGGTTAAAGTTTAATTAACAGAAACAAAATGAAAAAAATGCTTTTAAATAAATAATTGCATTGTTAACAATATAATGTATTGATTCGGCTAACGGTAGTTAGCCGTTTGTTATGTTGAGAAGCGCAATATTTTTGTTGTTTTAGAAGCGCAATATTTTGCTTTATTTATAATATTTTAACTTAGGTACATATTTTGCTACAAAAAATTAGGTGTCTGCTACATAATCTTTTTCAATCAAATTTGGTATGCACGTAGAAAACAAGTTTTTAAATTTTTCTCAATAGTTTTAAAAAAATGTTCTCAACATTCTTTCAATATAAATTTGAAGTCTGAACAACAACAAAGTTTTAAAAAAAATTTAATTCAATAAAAGCGGTTTTAACTACAAAAAAAAACAAAAAACTATACAATAATGAAGTTTAACTCTTCTACTTTTTAAAAAAAGCTCCGTGTTGATATAAAGTTCTAAAAAATAACTCAACAAAATACATCCTTACAACTCAAACGCTAAGCACGCTTTGATAAAATGGTCGTAGATTTTGATTACATCATCGGTGCCGTAACTGATTGGATACGTATGCACCTAGTGTATAAGAAAATTGCTCAAATAAGTAATACAGTCTTAAATGACTCACCTAAAAAAAATTGGTATTCATCTAAACAAACTTATAAATTAAGCAAGTGAAATAAATAATTAAACGGCAAAAAAAATCACGCATAGCATTACAGCTTTGAATCTTTCATTAAAGAAAGAAATTCGGCTTTCGTGCATAAAGGCAAGTACAATTTTTTTAATAGTTAAATTTTTTCATTTTTTTTAATATATAGTTAAACTCATTATTCTTGTTTTTTTTTTCAAGCCTATTAAAAATGTTTTTTTACTCTATACATGCTTTTATATTATATATAAATTTATTTAGTTATCAATTTTATGTTATAGGTTAAGTTAAAAATAAATTTATAAGATTTTTTAAATTATCCTAACTAGTCTAGCCATATCCAGTTCAGCCAAATAAAAAAAGATTAGTAAATTTATAGAAGTTAAATTTGGAATTATTTGTATTCCGACTTATAATTACGGTTTTTACCTTCCACACCCCCTAAATCAGTTTTTACTCTAGGGCCTCAGACTAATAAAAACGGTAAAATATGAAAAATTCTTTTGTTTTTATAGTGGAATGTTTTTTGTTTTTATTATATAATCAAACTACTTTTCCCAAAACAATCGTTAACAAGCAAACGCACATATTTCTTGTTTAAAGAAACGTCATCGTTTAACAAATAAAGAATGTCAAGTCTAAATATTCAATTTTAGGAAAAAACTATTTTGATAGATATGCAAACGATAGTTATTTTGATAGTTTCGCAATTTGCTTTTGATTATAAAGAATCTAAATAATTAAGTCAAAAAATGAATCAGACTTTATCATATAAGTTATATATAATATATAGATAAAACATTATAAAAAATACATTTTACAATAGCTAATTAAGTTTGATTATACCCAGTTTACTCTCAATTTAAATGACATTTAAAAAAAGAGTTTACACGACATCGAATAGTAAAGTTTGGAAATTAATTTTTTACTGTTTTAGTGGTATAATAAATAATAAATAGATAGTTTGTGTATAATACAAGCGACAAACAACTCTTTTTTAGTCAAGTATGTATAGTATTTAATAAGTACAAAAGGGTAATGTGACCGAATTCCAGTCATATCTTTACAATTTTGTCTCTGAAAACATGTTAAACAGGTAAAGAAATTATTAAGTTTGTAATTTCAACATTTTTCTTTGACGCATTTGAAATTTACAGTAAATATATTTATTTTACTTTTATAATACTAGATTATTCTACTCATTATACAAGATGAAACCCGTTGAAAATTTTTTTTCCTGCTTTTGTACCATTCTCATTTTTTTTATTTATTCTGCTTCACAAAGTCCTTCAGGGTACTTTAAAAAATTTTGGAGCAGCTTTAACATTTTAGAAACATTATAAACACTTTTGAAATTTTAAGTTATAAATGTAACCACGGGAACATGATTTAAAATATACTACTTATTTTAAAAGATTTAAATCTATTGATATAAATACTGTACATGTATTACTTATAGCCACTTTAAATATAATTTCGGTCTACGGATGGAATAAGTTTTAGACATGGCTGGATTTAGCCTTTCTACTAAGTGAAGTAAAATCAGAAATACAATCTATTAAAGTGACTCACTATACTGGTCTCAAAAACGTCGCGTTTATATGCATAATACTTAAACCACAGTACAAAAAATCTTAGTTTCAAATGTTGCTGGAATTCGGTCACTTTACCCTAAATTTAAAAATACATCAGCTCAACTTTGTTTGATTGATTTTTTTTTTTTTTTTACATTTAATGATTTTATGTATAAAAAATATATAAATAAAATATGTAAATAAATATATAGTTAAAAAAAAAAAATTGTTTTTTTATTTACTTAGGGTAGATTAAGGTAATATGAGCACTTTGGTAATATAAGCATACATAAAGATTCCTTGGATATAAGCAGTGAAGTTAAAGACTACAAAAAAATATCATCATGTGTTAATAAATCTGTGGCGCGAAATTCGGTGTTAAAATAATAAAATTGATTTTTTCATGAAGAAAAATGTGTGAGCTAAAAATCCAATCCATTTTTGTTTGAAAAACAATGCATAGAAACATTTAGTTTTAAATTAATTTAAAGATGCCATTTTTGTGTAATATAAGCATGCTCAAATTACCCAGTGTTTTTCATTGAAATTACCTAGTTTAAAGTCCTTAAATAGCAGTGGTTTGAATTGCTTTTTAAATAAAAACATAGTAAAAAATTTTAACTTTTTATTGATACTAAATAATTTTCTGTAATTTAAATTCAAAAAATTTGAGTTTTTATCGTTCAAAAGTTTGAGTTAATAAAATTAAATAAATAACAAACTAATTTTTTTTTCTTTTTGCGAAAAACATAGCAGTACTTGTTTCAACAAGAAGTGCCTTAATGATAAGTAGCTTAATGATCTTTTAAAGAAGTGGCTTAATGATCTTTTAATGATAAGTTTTGTTAATAACAAATCATTATATTTCAAAAGTTAGTTCTAATTGTCAGGTTAGTATTTTTTTACTTAATTAATGTTATTTTTTAGAGCTAATATAAAGTGCTCGTATTATCAAGTGGTCTGGGTAATATGAGCACTTTTGCTGCTTTTTTAAAACCTCTGTGTTATTAAGAAAAAATTTCGGGTGCCCAAATATCAAAGTGGATCATGAGTAGGGATCCCCAAATATTGTTTATTCGCAAAAATTTTGGATCGAGCATAATTATTTTTGAAAATATTCGAATTTTTACACTTAAGGTGCTCATCCCCGTGGGAAATTGGCTAGCGAATAGCTAGCCGATTTCCCAGAAAAAATTGCTGTCTTTATCTGCAAATTGCTGTCTTTATCGTTACGATAAAGACAACAATTTGGCCAAGAGGGTCGCTCGCTTTTTTAAGTTAGCGAAAAGCTATCGATATTTGTAAAGATAAAGACAGCGATTTGGCTACAAGGACAGCTAGCTTAATAAGCTAAAGGCTCACAGGCTATTGTAGCTACCATCATATCGTAATAAAATCGCTATCAAAAAAATGTTGGTATGTAGCTATCAACCAGCTATAGATTTGTAGATATTTTGTAGCTAGCTATAAAGCTACGATATGTAGCTAGCGACACATTGCTACAAAATCGCAATGTTTAAAGTTTAATTATTCTCATAATTATAATAGACTGAACACTAAAAATTGAATTTTTAAAGATGTTAGAGACATTAGTAAAGAATAAAATAAGAAAAAATAAATAGGTACTAAATATCAATTTTTTTAATACAGATTTTAATTCTCAAATCAGATTTATTATTTATGACGTCAATTGAATTTAGAAAAAACCAAAAACGATTTGGAAATAGTTTACTTCCGTTTGCATAAAATGGTTAACCACGCGTAAATTAGTCTATTTTTTTTAAATTTTGAATTACCAAGAGCAGTGATGGACAAAGGTATTGGATTACTGGGATATTTTCTCCAGGCCAATATATATATATATATATATATATATATATATATATATATATATATATATATATATATATATATATATATATATATATATATATATATATATATATATATATATATATATATATATATATATATATATATATACTATATATATATATATATATATATATATATATATATATATATATATATATATATATATATATATATATATATATATATATATATATATATATATATATATATATATATATATATATATATATATATATATATATATATATATATATATATATATATATATATATATATATATATATATATATATATATATATATTTAAACAATTCTTCAAAACAAGGTGCCTGTGAACGTAATTTTTCTAAACTAACAGTTATAAAAAATAGACTGAGATTTTGTTTTCGCAAAATAGTTGGAAATCTTTGATTATTATCTCAACAGAGAAGGGCGTTGTAGCTTACTTAGATACATACCCAATACACCGGGTATAAATAAATACTTAAAATAAATATTTAAAAGCCTAATCTTTATCGTGTTATACTAATACTATGTAAAATGTTATTTATTTATTTCTTCATTATAAAGGTTTATAGGTATGTATCACTCTATATATACTTTTTAAGGTTTGTCATCTGGGTTTTTTCTGGGCATCATAAATTTGTAAGTCCGCTACTGTTTACGGGTACTGTAAACGTTTTTTTAGAACATAAACTACATTTATATTTTTTTCAACTATTTAATAAAATTTTATTTTCCAGCATTTAAGACAGTCGTACTATGCCAACGCAATTTTTTTTTAAATAAAAAAAATGCACGACAGTAATAAAAGCGTCAGGTTATTTAATCATGAAGAATTGCAGCGACGGTAATTAAATATTTGCAATTTTAGTTTGTTGTAAAACAAGTATAATTTATTTTTTCAAAATGCGGACACCTCTTTTGTTTTAAGTTGAATTACTATTTTGGAGCATCATGCCTCATAAAGTTCCCAAAAGAATTGAAAGTTGTCTTTTTTTTTTCGGTTGTTTTTATGTTTTTCTACTGTCTTTAATTTTTTTTTAAATTCAGCAGTTTTAAATCCAATTTTAGATAAAGTTTTATAAAGTAGATTTTTTGTTTACCATTAAATATGTATAAAATTTTTTATTATTTGGTATCATAATACAAGTGTGTGACTAGCCAACAGTTATTTCTAAAGTAGTAAAATTTACTTTAGAAATAACCGTTGGCTAAAGGGGAGCGTTATGTTTTGCAATATAAATTTTACAAAAGATTTGTTACTTAGATGACCAGTAAGTTATATAAATATTTTTATTTATTTATTATAATGTATAAATAAATGAAAATATATATTCCAAATACAAAGTGAAATGAGTTGTTTATGTAAGTTTATGTACTCGGTGTTTATGTAAGTTTATGTACTCGGTGACTTGATGATTATTTTAATTTTCTGCAAGCTCCCTATGGCTGCATGTAAGTAATTTCAGTTTAACTTTTTCCTCGTTTTTTTTTTTTTTTAAATATTTTTCCACATTTTTTCCAATATAATTTTTGTAGCAATATGGTAAATTAATATTTACTAAAACACTTCATCATACATTCACCTCATTTATAATATTTATTCATTATTTCAATAGGAAGAGAATAGAAATATTTTTCTCGGAGTGTTTATGTATCTACATTATTCTATTGTTTTATTCAATATCATCTATTTACATTTATATATTTAAATCTACACTATTTACATTTTATTTGATATCTCTTTGTATACTTATTTTATCATATGTCGTAGTTTTTATAATATATTTTCTTGGATACCAATTTCTTTTTTTTAGACTTAATGTTTATTAAAACTAATGATATTGATATTATACAACTATATCATCAGTCTTTGTAGATCACTTATTTTCCCTAATGGTTTTGTTAAACAAAGGCAAATAAGTTCTTTTAAAAAATTTTAATTTTCGACGACCTAATGTTTTGGAAATAAAAAAAAATTAACTGTCAAGTTTCTATATAAGTTTAAATTTACCAATACAGACCTAACATTTTTAACCTGTTGTTATGTCTTTATTGATAACGATGAAATAAAAATTATAGCAATTTAGTAATAATTTTTAGTCATTAGTATTGTCATATTTTTTAAATAAATACAATTCTTAATAGCTTTTGTTTATCTTTATATAATGGCATGTATATGATATTGTTTATGAATCTTGTATTTTATTAAAATTTTAGTTTACATAACAAGCCAAAGCAAACTAAATATATATGAATAATCATTAGACTTTGTTCTGAAGCTGAGAGCAAACTTGTTAAACAAACAATGACAGCGATGATCACGTCACCTTTTTTTTAAAAAATATTCACATAAATAGATCTATTTGCGACCGGTTAAACTTTGAAAGATATGGCTGGCAAAAATATCAAGTTTGAAAACATGAAAGTACTAGCTTCACTTTTAACGTTATTTTATTTCGTTGGTTCAAACCCTATTTCTGATGTATCTCTTATAGCAACCAACCAAAACAAAACAACCGAAACACTAGAAACTATGTTGTCTATTACAACGCACCCTACGCAACACATGTCATCTACATTAAATCCAAAAGACGTATACGAAGTAGCAGAAATGGTCACAAACCTCGAAGTGCAATCTTTTTGTGAATCGTTGTATAATGGTCAGCAAGTCATGGAAATCTTATTCACAGACGATAAGACAAAAGTATGCGAAGAGAAATACAAAAAGGTTTCATACTCTAAACTCGTAGCTCGAATAATCGGAGAGACTCTTTTTTTTCAGAGAATACCAAAAAGGAAAACAATTGATAACGAGAAAAATAAACACGCAACCATAATAAATGGAGAAAAAACAAATAACCAGCATAGTTCAACGCAAGAAAACGGCGATGATCAAGATACTGAAATAAAAAAAATATACAAAATTTTTTGTTGCTACCAAATTAATTAAATAAGGAGTAAGATAATAAAACGCTCTGAACGCTGTTATGTAAGAAGATCCACTGAAGATACTCAGTAGTGAAACCGCACATACTATTGAATCATAAGTTTAGTTTATCGAATCATGCACTTAAAATACCTGTTATTTTTCAAAGTTGTTTTTCCTAAACTTGCAATTTTTTTTAGTTTTTTCAATGTGGGGCGAATTTTTTTTAACAAAATTGGTGATTAGATTAATTTAAACAAAACTGTAATAGAAAAAACATAATTGTGAGAATGTATATATTGATCATGCTTAGTGTATAGATAATGACTAACTTTGTAAAAAACAAACAAACGACAACTTATTTATAATTTATTAGCAATATACGTGTTATTATTTAACCTTATTTTTTACTTAAATAGCAATATTAACAATAATATTAGTAATTCTTTGTTTCAAGTTGAAATGCTTAATAAACTATCTTGAGCTCTTAAAAGCAGTACTTCTGTCAAAAACAGATGTACTTGTAATTCATTCACTCAATATGTAAAAATTCGTGAACCAGTCGTATTTTTTTTTTTTTTTTTTACATTTTACAAGAGGTACATATGTTTTTGTAAATTTTTTTTCCTTCGCAGCCAAGTTTCAATGGCCAATAAACATAAAAGTCACAAAACGCTTAGGCATAATTCATTTCTATGGATTTCAAATGGATTTTCCTAATTTGTGTTAGAAATATCTAAAGTTAAATGCGTTGTGTCGGCTTACCCTTGCAGCCTACGAGAAACGGTTTTCCCTGTCGGTTTTGTCTTTAATCTAACTCATTAAAATAGAAAATTGCGTTGATAAATTACTAACTTTATATATTAACAATTCGATAAAGACTTAGGAGTAATTAAACCACAAAATAAATCGTTTAGCGATTCGAATATAAGTGTTTTGTTCGTTTTAAGTAAAACATTTTTAAAAAGATTCATCACGTTTTTTTTTTCAAAATTTGTTATAACCATTTTTATTAAATTTGCAATAAGTTATATAACATAAAAACAACATTGTACTAATTAACTTTGAAATGATATTATAGTTTGATTTGTACAGACCCGTCATCAGACGTAAATTCTAAAAAGTTTACTTACAACAAGAAATGTCGCGAAAACACTTAATAAAATTTGTATTGTTTAATGTTGTGTAGTAAGATTAATTTCAATTGAGCCAGACGCATATACAAAACAAACAAAAACTAAGTGGGCAACATTCAACACTTGGGATGCAAAAATATATTTTCGATTCATTTTGAAGCATGGCCTCGTTTTTTCTTTTTTGTTTTACTTGGTTGTTCGGACATTCAAATGAGTATCGAAAATGAAGTCGTTACGAAACATTGTTCGTTAATGACTTCGTTCGCTAAAAACGCTTTTTATTCAAGTAAAACGCAAATATCATTTAGTTACAATACAACAATACAAAAACATTCGATACGATACATTTTTGAGTTAAGGCTTTTAAAGTGTTGTTGTTTTTGACAAAAAAGTCAAATAGTACCAACAACGAATTCAATAGTAAATATCATTCACTATTTTTTTTTTACTTTTGAAAACGTTGTTTGTTTTAGGTACTATTTGACTTGAAAAAAGCAGTTTATAAATCCAAATATCAAAAATATTTAGCTGCACCCCCGTTGAAGTTTAATAAGGGCGCTATTACTATTATAGTGCTAAACACCCTATTAAAGTTTAAAAGGGGTCCAATTACTATTATAGTGCTAAATACCCTATTAAAGTTTAATAGGGGTGCTATTATTATTATAGTGCTAAACACCCTATTAAAGTTTAATAGGGGCCCTATCACTATTATAGCTCTGAACACCCTATTAAAGTTTAATAGGGTGTTTAAAATTTAAAATACTCATACGTGTTTAATGTAAACACGTTTAATAGGATCTTTACCCTATTATACGAATGAGCGTTTTTCTTATTAAAAAAACAAAGCTTAACATAATTATTTTTTTTTATAGCTTTTTTTTTTTAACATTAAACTTTATTCACATTCTTTCTTATCTTTTTAAAGTTTAAAATTTTACATAAAGAATAAACGTAACTTCCTTTACCCCTTCAATCGTGTAACCCCCTGACCCGCTAAATCTTTTATTGTTAAAATTTTTGTTCATTTTTTGTACTAGTAAATTCTCATTTTACATATGTAGTTAAACATGCTTAGCGTTTAAGTGCCGTTGTCGCCATATTTTGTATCCTTTATAAATATGCATATATATATATATATATATATATATATATATATATATATATATATATATATATATATATATATATATATATATATATAATATATATATATATATATATTTACATAACCTTTATAAATATGCATATATTTATAAAGGTTTTACAATATATATATATATATATATATATATATATATATATATATATATATATATATGTATATATACATATATGTATATATATATATATATATTTATATATATATATACACATATATATGTATATATATATACATATATATATACATATATATATATTTATATATTTATATATATATATATACATATACATATATATATATACACACACATATATATATTTATATATATATATATACATATACATATATATATATACACACATATATATATATATATATATATATATATATATATATATATATATATATATATATATATGAATATATATATATATATATATATATTTATATATATATATATATATATATATATATATATATATATATATATATATATATATATATATATATGTATATATATATATATATATATATATGCATATTTATAAAGGTTATGTAATATAAAAGTGGAAATCGTTTCACAAAGACGTCTTTTGAACCCTTGTAGGGGCCACGGGTAGGAGTGAATCATTGATTCCATAGGGTGACAGGATTAGTGTCGAAAAGTAAACTTCGGTTTAGTGTCAAATAAATTAAAAAGGCCTAATATCACACAAAAAAAAAGGAATAGTGTTGCAAATGATGTTAATGAATAGTGTCGAAAACAAAAAAAAGGAATAGTGTCGCAAACAAATTTAATAAATAGTGTTGAAAATAGAATAAAAATAAAAAAGTTATAATAACTATAAATGTGTGTTTAGATAGCATGTTTGATGTCATACTGAAACAGCCTACTGCTGGGGACTTCAGTGCATACACCAACTATCTTATAGCCTGATACCGCAAAGGAGTGCTGGTACAAGACTGAGGGTTTGTGGTTTGGTAGCAATCTTTTCTTTCATTATTCTTTGTTTTTTTCTTTTTTTTTCTGTAAAAGCTGTATACTATAAAGATAAGCAAGTAAGCACTTGCTGAAATTAACTATTTGCGACACTATTCCGTTATTACAATTTACGACACTACTCTTCTTTTTTATTTTCGACACTATTCATTAAATAAATTTGCGACACTATTCCTTTTTTTTGCGACATTAGGCCTTTTTAATATATTCAACACTATTCCGAAGTTTCTTTTCGACACTATTCCTGTCACCCACAAAAATCTCTGTTAAACCAAACCTTTACCACGTAGTTACCAAACCTTTACCACGTAGTTACCAAACCTTTACCACGTAGTTTCAAATTTGTGTTAAGATTATTCAACTTTTTTTAACAGTTCTTGGTGTCTGTGTTAGCGGTGTATTCAATTTTTTTTTTATCTTATATTTTTATTTTAAGTTGGGGTAGAGTGGATTGAGGGGCACAGTAAATAAGAGTCATTTCCTCAAAGATTAGAGTTTTGTTCATCTTAATAATATAATTACTTTATGTGTTTATATATCAGCCATCTTTATTTAAAGTTGATACCACATAATTTTTGACTGCAGTTTTTGATAGGTAATTTTTGTTTTTAACCAACTAAAGAAAATTTTCTTATGTTTGTTATAGAGATCATGGTTGAAATAGTTTCAAAAGTTGAAGTTTTTCACTCGAATTATTGATATTTATGCTTCCTTTTAGTACTTTAGCATTTCTTTTAACAACACTTATATCCCAAGAAATTACTCTTAAACTTAATTTGTTATGGTGGGGCACAGTGAATTGGAGTACAGTGAGTAGGTTGATTCATAATGCCCCATTAATGATCTTAAAGACAAAATTTATGCTTTTTAAAAAACAAACTACATGAAAATGAATTTATTAGTTTTAAATTATGAACAATAATATTTGAATAATTTTTTAATACTTTTATAAGTTTTGTTACTAATAAAATTCTTATTTTTTCTTCTCAATTTTATACTAATCTAATTAATAAAAGTATGCTAAAAGTATAGTGTACAGTGTCTATACTCCCTCAGCCTCAAAGTTACTTGACTATGCCCTTATTCACTATTATTAATTTAAAAAATAAAGAAATCCGATTCATTGTGCCCCAACTTCCCCTACTGGTTGAAAGTTCTATAAATAACAAGCTGACAATTTTGAAATATCAGATATTGGTTATTAAGTAACGAATAAATAAAAAAATCCGAAATAAAAAAACAAATGTAAGCTAAATAACATAAAGACAAAAAAAGGTAGAAATAGCCGTAAAAAAATATAAATAAAGTTAAAATACCTGTCTTTGCTAGGCAGGGGTACAATGAAAGTAACATACAATATCTGAAGTATTTTTTTCTATTTTTTTTATCTTTCACAATCTATGCATTCCCAGTTCTTTGAAATCTTTTCAACTCTTTCCATAAAAAATTTTTATTCCAATTAAAATTTAAAAAAAATTCTTAACCTATTTTTACCGCCAAATTCCCTTGTATTACATTTACTTGATAATTTTATTTATATTGGTTGTAAAACGATAAATGAAATTTTGAGGCAAGATGATGAAAACACCGCTTTTTTAAATATTTTTTACGTTAACATTATGTAAAAATAATTATATTGAAAATAAGGAAAAAATAATAATAACAATATAATTATATAAAAATTTGTTTTTATATGAGACAAAAATCTCTGCTAAACCAAACTGTCTAAAACCAAACAAAAATTTACCATGCCTAATGTCCAAAAAATGTCCGAACAAATATATATATATATATATATATATATATATGTATATATTTATATTTATGTATATATATATATATATATGTATATATACACTAGTGATCAAAAGTTTAGACTCAGAAAAAAAATCTCTTAAGCTTAGCTCTGAAAATGCTAAAAAAAATTTATTAAGATAATGCTTGAAATTTTTTTTTTTAATTCAACTTATTTAGTTTGTTTCTAACATAATTACAAAAAACACACACCTTTTATTTTATATATTGGTCTTTTTTTTTATTTTATAATAATAGCGCTATTTAAAAACAAATAAAATGTG